CACACCATAATGTTGTTACAAGTCGCCTTTCTGTTGGATGGCATTCGGCAGCAGCATTCACTGTATTTTGATAAATACACTCATGAAGGAGGATGAAACATACTTGTAAAGACACTCATGAAAGAGGACTTCCAGAACTGCATCAGAAAGTTGCAAAAATGATGAGATAAGTGTGTTTGAAGGGAAGGGGAGTATTTTGAAGGGATTAGTGGCAATTTGTCTTTCACTGTAATAATTTTTTAAAAAATTAAACTTTCACCATAGTTTTTCATCACCCCTTGTACGTGTCCATTTACAAGCTTGTAGTGATTGCATGACCAGTCTAAGGTTCATGGTCTGCTGACCAGAGACAACCTTCTAAACCTTTGCACTGTCTTCTCCTCCCAGATCACATTCCCACAAGGTACCACAGCTGTGATCATCTCTAATGTCACATTTGTATATCAGTCTCCCCTTATCTCTCAGGCACAAATCCCAAGGCACCAATTGGATGCCTGAACCGTAGATAGTACCAGACCCTGTGTTTACAGCCCTCCCTCTGTCTGTGGACGCTGAAGTCCAGTCTATAACATGGTGTAGTAATTGCTTATAACCTACGCACCATCTTCTCATAGACTTAAGTCATCTCTAGATAACTTTTAAAACCTAATATAGCATTAATGCTAAGTAAATAATGGTTGTACTTTCTAGTTTAGAGAATAATGACAAGAAAAAATGTCTGCACATATTCAGTGCAGATGCAATTTTAAAAAATATATTTTGACCCACCATTGTTTGAATTCACATCTGGGAGAGCCAATGCTTAAATGTTTTGCTTCCTATGTGCACATACCTGTGATAACATGTAATCTATAAATTAGGCATAGCAAGAGATTAAAACAACAAATAATAAAATAATTATAACGGTACTGTGACAAAAGTTATTTAAAACATATGAAGGGTTTTATTTCTGGCATTTTCTATTTAATATTGTATACTGAAGTTGACTATGGATATCTGAAACCTCATTTTACTTCTGGAATTCTCTATTCAATATTTTCATACGGAAGGTGATTATGGGTATCTGAAACCTCAAAAAGTGAAAGTGCAGACAAGAAGGGCCTGCCACACTGACCCCTCCGAAGGACCTCCACCTCCACCGTCTCCTTGGAGCCCCAAGATTAAGTAGTCTTTATTTGACCTGCAACGATACTGAAAAATAGACCTGGACCAAGAGGCTTATGAGGCACAGCCAGTTACTAGAGGTTCTCACCACGACCTTCTCCCAGGCATCACAACTGCACAGCAAAATGTACTTGCTATTCTCCCCCATAAACCCGGCTTTTTAACATTCATCTGAAGTTGGCTTCTCTCGCTGCCTCTCATCACTCTGATTTTCCCACTTATTTTCTGTTTGGGGCCATGACGATCTGATTACACTGTTAAATTTGCGGTTCTTTCTTAGCTGGGCAGTGTTAGGGTTTCAGCCTTTCAGTGAGTCCCGTGTCGGTAAAGACCTGAATAGCTCTGACCACACAGCATTGCTATCTGTCCTGCAGTCAACTGATAAGCTTCTAGGAACAAATTTTCCTCTGTATAGAATGAGAACTGTTTGAAGGAACATAGTGATAGTGACGGGATTCTGGGATCACAGACTCACCCCATTTCAGCTCAGTTACTTATTCCTCACAGGGACCTCCTAGGCCGCAGCTTCCTCACTCCATCTGTGGGGAGATGACAGCTCCCTTCCATAGAGTTTGGGACCAGAGCAAAGACAATCATGCACAGACAAAGGCACTCCATAAACTCCTAGTCTTTCTTCTCCTGCCTTGGCTTTTCCTCGACCTCTCTTTCCCACCTTTGTTATGACCTCAATGTGTGTCTCCTCTTCGAAGACGGTGCTTGCTCCTTCCCACAGCAGCTGTAGTGCAGAAGAGCTCCGGAGTTTTCCTCCCCACTGTCTTTGCAGCCTCCCACCCCTATCTGACCCAAGGATGACTTTGAACAAGCCGAAGAAGCTGTTTTTCTGGAGTGATCGTCTTTGACTTTCCAGCCTTTTTTCCCTTTCTTCAGAGGAAAAACATCTGGGTCTCTGTCTGTGAATCTGCTCTGCTTTCTAAGATCAAAAGAGAGGTCACGGAAGGCCTTTCTCCACATCAGTGTCCGCATCTCATCGAAGACCAGCGCAGGGTCCCTATCCCAGGCCCGCCTCTAGCTCCCCATTTCGGCAGAAGGCAACTGGAAATAGCAGAGAGGCTTTGGGTTTGGTGGTGCTTGGCTTCGACTTCCACCTCTGTCCTCACTGTGTGAACTGGGAAACGTGTCAACCTCTCTGGGTCTGAAAGGATGATAACACATTCTTCCTAGGGCCAAAGAATGACAGGTGCAGAGCCCCATCACAGTGCTAATGCATGGTGGAAGCTCAGGGAGCATCAGCACCTCTGGATGAGGGCAGCTACTCTTCCTCTGGATGCATGCATGCATTCATTCATTCATTCATTCACTTATTCACTCACCGATTCAGCAGCTGTGGCCAGAGATATCCATGGCTTAAGGTCAAAGTAAGAGTTGATCTCAGAAGCTTTGAATGGATGGGTGACATTTATCATAATAGGTTGGTGGATGTTTAGTTGAATGGGTGGTTGGATGGTTTGCTGTGACTGAATGGATAGGTAGTTGGATTTGGCTAAGTGGATGGATGGGTGGATGGATGTGTAGATGAATAACTGGATGGTGGATGGATGAATGGATGGGTGGATGTGTAGTTAGATATAGATGGATGAATGGATGATGGAGGTAATTTTATTGGGCTCTTAGAGTTAGCCTCCCATCAAATACAGAAATCCCCCTTCAATACCTATGACAGTCCTCAATCACGTGCCTACTTACCTGCACTAGGTAACTTACAAAGTAGTCCACTAATGTTCATCAATATGGTAAACTTCTTCCAAGTTCTGGGTACGTTGATGTGGGTTATGTTAGTGGTTAAGGGTATGATCTTTGGGAAAAGGCCTGCTGCGTGTAAATTTCAGTTTAACTAATTAAAATAGTGTGACCTGGAACAAATCCCTTGGCTTCTCTAAACTGTGACATCCTCATTTGAAGAATGGGCAAATTGCAGTACCCTACAGGATTGATATGAGGATTAGTGAGATAATGACTATCAAGGGCAGAGAAGATACTGTGATTGTACTGAGCCAGTATGTACCCTCTGTAACATTTTTTTGCTCAAGAACCAGATGTGTGCCAGATACTGTTCTAGTGTTGCATATGCATTTGTAAACAAGCCTGAAATAGTCCCTCATCTCTTGGAGCTTATGCTCTAGTGGAGCACTCAGACAATGAACAGATAAACAACTTCAGATGGTGTTCAGTGCTGTGCAGAAAATTGAAACAGGGTGGGGGAAAGACGTGGCAGGTGGGGATAGTTGTTCTTTTTCCAGGCTGTGAACTGGTGAGAAGATGCAGCCAAGCAGAGATCTGGGGAGCGGGTATACCAAGTAGCAGGAATAGCCCATGAAAAGGTCCCGAAGCAGGCTGAGCCTTGTTTAAGGAAAAGCAAGAAGGCATGTGGCCAGGTAGAAAGTGGGACCAGTTGGGGACAGAGGTCTGAGGACCCACACCACTCAGGCCACGGAAGCTGGGAGGTGTGATTTGGACATTACCCATGTTAATCTCACACTGTCCTCTGAACCAGTGAAAGAGCCCTGTTCATTTGGCAGCCACTCAGCTTTTCCATGGCAGCGGACAGGCTCCTGGGCCCCTTGCCACCAGGCTAACCGGTCTGCATTCTCAGTGTTCCCAGTTGATACCCTGGGACACCTGGAAGAAATACCCTGACAATATCTTGGGTCCCATGAACCTAGACCACAGAAGAAATCTGGTTAGTCCTAAAGAAAACTGGACTTATGAAAGCCAGGATATTTTGAGCTGGAATTGTGACACATTAAGGCAGGAAGCTGTTTTTCCCTGAGCCATTGCCCCTGGAAGATTTGCAAAGGAAAGAACGAGAGGAGTGATTCTTGAGGCTGATTTCAGGATAAAAGATGTGTGAAACCATTTATCCTGGTGGATCTGGAGTAGAATCTGGCTGTTAAAAGAAAAATGTCATCTGGCTGCTCCAGGAGCTCGGGGCCAGTTGTTAGGACTTGGACACTCACCAACATTCCACAGTCCTTCCTCTGTGTTGGTTTTCTTCTTGCAACTTCTTTCCATGTGGGAGCAAAAAGGCTCTTGGGATCTTCCAGTTTGAAATCCAGCAGAAAGAGAACCTCCCTATCGAATCATTCCAACAGAAGTGTGGAGTCTCTCATTGGCTAATTTTCATGGTTGAGTCACACATCCATGGCAACAGTACTATGGCAGGGCCATGCAGCATTCTAATGGGCTGTCCCGAGCCACAGGACCACCCTGGATTCATCACAGAGTTGATCCTCCCCTCCCTATGGGCCAGGCATGGGGGTGGCTTGGAGAGTGGTGATAATCAAGTTCCAGATGCATAAGCTTCAAGATCTGCTGTGTGACTCAGTGCCTGTAGTTAACACAGTGTGCTGTACACTTAAACTGTGGTAAGAGGGTAGACCCATGTTATCTGTCCTCACCGTCACTTAAAGCAAGCAGCAAACAAATAAAGTGGGTGCTATCAGGAGAAGAAGAAAGAATGGAATCTGTGTATCTTAGGTTTCCTAACTCAGAGTTAACTACAGCTTCCTCTGGGGTTCAGAGCCCCATCTCCCATAGTTCCCTCCTCCGTAGTTTCATTGGTGGGCGCGCTTGTCTCCATCAGCCTGTGTAGGCTCCTTGGGGATGGACGCTGTGTCACACGCATCCCAAGTCCTCTACCCTTTGTGCTTCCTAGGGTGAGCGTGTAGCATAGGCTTGGTTATGCTGAGTCAAGTTCAGACCCCAGTCGGGTTGCTGCACCCCTCGGATAGTCCTCAGAGGAAATGTCAGAGAAACTCCCCACTTCCCAGGGGACAGCCGAGCTTCACCCTCACCTCTGTGGTCTCGGGTTCCCCCAGGCAAAGCCAACAAGAATGTTCAGTGGGACGAGGACTCTGTGGAGTACATGCCGGCCAACCCAGTCAGAATCGCCTTCGTCCTGGTGGTCCACGGCCGTGCCTCTCGGCAGCTGCAGCGCATGTTCAAGGCCATCTACCACAAAGACCACTTCTACTATATCCACGTGGACAAGGTGAGGAGCTGCCTCCCATCTCCTGTGCTGGGCTTCCTCTGCAGTCTGTCTGTCCCTCTCTGATCTCTCCTTGCCCCATAAGTCCAGGCTAAGGCTCAGAGGCATAAGGACATATGGTCTAAAAGTGCTCTGTGTGTACATGCATGTGTGTGTGTGTGTGTGTTGCTTTCAATAATTCCAGCTATAACTTTCTCTGCAACATTATTTGCCTTTTTATTCTTACTTGACATATAATAGTAATACATCTTGATGGGGGCTCAATATTATATTTTAATACATGTATCCATAGTGTACTGATTGGTTCAAGTTAATTGGCATAACCATTGCCTTAAAAGTTTACGATTTCTTTGTGGTGTGATTATTCACAATCGTCTTTGAGTCTTCTTTGAAATATGCACTTCACTATTGTTAGCCTTAGTCACCCTCTCTGCAAACCTTATTTTTCTTTTTTAGCTGTTCTGTTTTTCCTCCTTTTCCTTACTTCCTGGTGCCCTCTGCCTGCCTCTTGTGGGCTTTGTAGAACTGGGTATCCAGGAGTGGTCTCAAATTTTTCTGTCAAAGTCCTTATAGCCAAAAATTTAGGCTCTGCCAGCCATATGTTCTGTCACAGCTACTCAGCACTGTCCTGGCAGTGTGAAAACAGTCACAGAAAACATGTCACCAAGTGCATATGGCTGTGTGCCAATAAAACTTTATTAACAAACACCTGCAGCGGACTTGCTAACCCCATACTGTCCTATTCCATAGTTTTGCTTTTGTTCGGCTGAAATGACATGATTATATCTTTAGTAAAGAAGGCAAAAGGGGATGTTTCATGAGAAAGATCTGCTTCTAGCAAGCCTGTGAGGGGTAATGGAGGGGCTCTGGGTAGGAAGGACAGAACACAGAAATGCGACTCCCAAATGCTGTCAGGCTTAGGTGGACACATATTTCCTAGCTTCTTACCCTTAGACTATATGCACCAGCTGTGTGTAAAACTGCAGAGTTCCAGGCTCCTCAGGCCCAAGGTATTAGTGGTGGAGAGGTGGGGCCCAAAAATCTGCATTTCAAACATCTAATGTAAAACTTCAGAAAAGAATAAGTTTGAATAGTGATGCAGAAAAATAAAAGATGCCCAGGCCAGAACCAGTAATTTGGCAAAGTCACCAGGTTCAGACACACTGTCACTGGGAAGGGAAGGGACAGAGAAAAGAAAGGGCTGAGGAGGGCGGTCTGGTGTCTGATGTTTTCCGGGCTGCTGAATGTCACCCTTTCTCTCCTGGGAAAAGCGCTCTAATTACCTGCACCGGCAAGTGCTCCAGTTCGCCAGGCTGTACAGCAATGTCCGCATCACCCCCTGGAGGATGGCCACCATCTGGGGGGGAGCCAGCCTCCTGTCCACCTACCTTCAGAGCATGCGGGACCTCCTGGAGATGCCTGACTGGCCCTGGGACTTTTTCATCAACCTCAGCGCTGCAGACTATCCCATCAGGTAAGGGGGCCAGTGGCCCAGGCCAGCCTGGTCCCATATCCTGTTTGCGCTTACTTTCCCTATCACAGCTGGGACAGCAGAAGGTACAGGCAGTCGGCTTCCTGTCAAGAGAAACGCTCTGCCTCAGTGAGACACCAGAGAGCGCTTACACACTGTCTCCAGGAGATTTCTCAGCATTGTGTCCAGAGTGGTCCTCAGAAACACTCATGTGTCCATTTGTCTGTCCATCCATCCATCCATCCATCTATCCACCCACTCATCCATCCTTTGCTCACTCAGCAGATAGTTATTGAGCACAGTGTTCTCCCAGCTGCACTGGAGGCTGTACCAGTGCACTAGGGAGACCGAAACTCCTAAGGAAACAAACAGCAGGCCTAATAAGTAAGGAGTGTTAGGGCTCAGAGCGTGTACAGCACAGTAAGATAAGGAGCAAGGGAGCAAGACATTAAACAAGATCAGAGAGTAAACTGGGCCAGATCATGGGGGTTCTAGAATTTTCTGTTACTTCAAACAAGATGGAAGCCGCTGGTGTGTTTTGAGCAGAGAAAGAACGAGATCTGACCTTGGTGTGAAACTCAAAGTGGACAGAGAGAAACAGAGAGCTCGGTTGTTCTTACAACCTGCCCGGGCAGGACCACAGATGGGCATCTTTGGACTCTGTGAGGTCTGTGCTGTGTTGGTTTGGCCCTCATCAAATTTGAACAAATGTACAGATTGCCCACTTTGTGAAATTGGGAGATTTCATGTAAAGTGATAGATATCTGGCTTTTTTTGGAAGGTCAGCACACTCTGGGTCCTCAGCCTGTGTGGGCACTGCTGTCAGGAGCTGGGGGTGTGGCCAGCAGCCCTGTGGGCGTGAGAACTTAGGGGGGTCATCGGGAAGGGCAGGGACATCGACTTGCTCTTTAAAGGAAACCATAAGCAAAGTAAACCTCTCTTGAGATCTTGTAGAAAAGAAATAAAAACACAAGAAAATGAACTCTACTTCCTATCAAGGAAGCGACTCTTCGCTGGGTTGTGTGTTCCACACTGCGCTGCTGAGCAGGCTGCAGAGGAAATGGAGGGCAGGGGGATTCTCTCCCAGGTAGCATGAAGGCACTGAGTATAGCATTCCCAGGAAAGTGAGATGAAAACGTCTTTTAAAAACTCTCATTAGGAGAATTTTCAAATATGTGCAAAAGCAGCAAGGGTACGTGCACATCACCTGGTCTCAGCTGTGATCAGTCTTGTGGCCAGCAGCCTCCGGCCTTCTCCCCCTGGATTGTTCTTAAATAAATTCAAGACATCGCACAATGTGATCTGTAAGTATTTCAGAGGATGTGTCTCACAGAGGGTCTCTCTCAGCATAACATCACTATGATGGGCACGTCTGTTGTGTTAACAGCCATTCTTAATGCGCTTAGATAGTCAAGTCTCAGATTCCCAAGAGTTTGAGTTTTGAATCAAGATCCAAATAAGGTGCAGGCATGAAGGAAGGTCTCTCTGTAATGCTGGAAATGGCTCCTTTCTTCTTCATAGTATGGTCCTTGGAGCCTTTCTGCATCCTGGTCATCTGCTGGGAGCCTCTGGTCCCTTTGGGAGTTTAAGGGGAGGCACCATGTCTAGTCACCTTGGACAAGATACACCTGGCTCCCTGGAACCTAGGAAAAATGACAGGGCCTAGAAAGACACCTGTTTCCATCTGTTCATAGTCTAAGAGGGATAAAAGGGAGTATTTTATAAACATTGCCGGCAGATTCTTACTTACCATGGCTCTTTACTTATTTGGCGAACATTTATTGAACAACTACTGTGCTATGAAATATTTGGGCATTTAGTGAACAAAAGCAGCTGTGCTTCCTTCCTGTTTCACAGAGCACATATCCTACTCGGGAAGAGAGCATTAGATAATTGTGCAAAGGAGACCAGGCAAGATGTTCAAGGACTAGAAAGAAAGGAAGCCATATGATTGGAGAAAAACTGGAGGGATATAAACAGATCAAGAGGCCTTGGAATATTCAACCTTGAGTTGAGACCCGCAGAGAAGAAGGGATTGACTGGCAGGAAAAACATGGAAGAGATCATTCTGTAGCAGGATTTCCCAGCCATGGCACTGCTGACATTTGGAGCTGGGTAATTCATTGTTGTGGAGCTGTCTTGTGCATTGTAGGGTGTTTAGCAGCATCCCTGGCCACTGACTGCTTGATGCCAACAGCACCGCCTACCTGGTGTGTGTCTCCAAACATTGCCCAATCTCCCGAGTGCCAAAATTGCCTCCAGTTGCAAGCCATCTTCCTGATACAGGGAATAGTCTGGGGCTAAGATGGGAGAGAGACAAACTTGTTGCATTTGAGAAGTTTTTTAAATGGATGAATTATAATGAACAAAAGAATGAGGCAAAGTGACAAGCAAATGGTCATTTAGGCCAGTAAATGGCAAGAGGGAGCCAGAACATTGTCTCTCAATCTTCCAGGAAAGGACTGAGATCAGAAATGCCCCCCAAATGCTGCGAACAGCAGCCAGCGTGGCTGGAACTTCCATTGTCTCCCACAGCAAACCTATTTTGCAGATGGACAAATTGAAACCCAAGGCTGTGTGCTGTATGCATGGCAGAACAAGGATTGGAAGAGTTCCGCCTGGTTCCAAAGTTAGTACTCTTTCTGCTTGAAATTTACCTCTTGGCAAACCAGCAGTTTCAGCTATGTTCCAAACCCAGAAGGACACAGTTCTGACCCTTGAGCTCGTGGCAGGGCAGCAGAATGGTTAGACCGCCTCACAGCAGAGAGTATTGAGGGAGAGGACTTGGAGGTCACCTGTCGTGCCTGGTTCTGAGGAACTATGGCCATGGTCCTCATACTCCTCCTTCTCCAGACTCCATGGAGGTCTGTCATTCATGTCAGCCCAAGTCAGGTGGTGGCACCTGGCCAAAATTACACAGCCAGCCAGGGGTGTGCACTGCTGCCCCCTACAGGCGCTGCGTTGTGTTGCTTGCGAGTTAAACCCATCATCCTGCTGCTTGACCTAGGGCCTAGCTTTGTGGAGCACCCAAGAAAGAGAACACTCCGACCCCACCAGACTGCGTGCGGTTGGCGTCTGAGTTCTGCCGCTAAGTGGCAGCGCTCCCACTGGCAAGTGCATGCCAAGCCTGTGACTGGAGAGGATAACGGGCCACACAGGCACTTGGAAGGTGCTCCAGAAATGTGAGCTGTTTACTACAACCGAAGCTGTACCTGGTGTCCACTCCAAGGTCCCCGAAACCCTTTCAGACCAGGTGGCCAGCTGCCTCATTCTGAGGTTCACAAAAGAGCCACCTTTACACCTCTTTGGGCTTTCTCGCCCCAGGTGACCTGGTGGTTGCTGGTGGTCCTCTCCCTCTCCCTGCTCTCATCTTCGGGGCACACGCCCGCCCCACGCGATGCGTCTGCACACTCTGCTCTGCCACCCTCACAGCCAGAAGCACTTTCTGCATCAAGCACTGCTGGTTCCTCTTGCTGCTGTTTTTGTGAAGTTGCCCCACACAAACACATATGAATTTTGCAGATGAACGGTTTTATCCTGGGCAACTCTGATAGGTTTTCACTTCCCATCTGGTGCTCCATCTGGAGCTTCCAAAATCACGACCTCTCCCATCCCATGAAGGATGAGCAAACTCACGAGCCTCCTCAATGGGGCGGGAGTGCCCAAGTCAGGAAAAGAGGCCCTGAAACCTTGGGGGGCCTCCAAAGCTTCCACCAACTCAAGCTGTTTTGTGATTTGACATCACCTCCCTGCGTCCCCTGCCCTAACTGGGGTATAGACTCTTCCTTTCTTAGGTAGTAAAGAGTCGTTGGTTTCTTCTCACTCACTTTGTTTGGGCCCTGGACACACAGCCCAGTTATAGGCTCTGCTGCAAAAGTTGCTTCAGTTCTTTAGCATCTGAATTTCTCCACCTTACAATGAGCACAGCATTCGTGGCTATTTCAAGAGGCTCTCGGGAGAGGTCGAGGGTACAGCACCTGGTGCACAGCATGTTCCAGGTAAACCCAGGTATCACTGTAGCAGCGGGGCCCATGGGCATTGTTGGCCATCCCATGGATTACTCTCCCTCTTCTCCTTCACAGAGTTTAAAGAGTAGGAAAATGTTTCTTGAACTCACATCTCTTTCCAAAATGGGGAAAGCAACATTGAGCTGTGAAGACTGCACTATCATGCAAAAACAGGAGAGAAGCACTTGGAGACATGAGAATGTTCCTGCGTTCGGAAAGTGGGAACAAAGTGCATTTAAAGGTGCTGGGCCTCCCTGCTGTGCTGTCGAGTGACTCCTGCCCGTGTGGGCTCTGGTCGGAGCCCGTTATGTACCCAGCACATGGATGAAAGCAACTGCTTTCAAATTCCAGGTCTGGGTTCACCAGAAGGCAAGACAGTTTCACTGAACTCAGGCAGGGAGCGGTGCCCAGCATGCTGTAGGGTGGCCATAGGAAGAAATGAAGCCAAAAGCATTTTGCCCTGTTGCTTGGTTTGGACTCTCATAGTTCCTGTCTTTCACTAGGCCCATGTCTTGGGACTGAAAGAACAGGGCTGAGTGTGTCTGCGGCCTCTCCCAGGGCTCAAGTTCTGTCTGTCATGTGCACTTGTGACATGTGTGTGTGGGTGGGGGGGATGAGTGTGCAGAAGCTGTTGGGCAGGGGAATTTCTGTTGGCATTTTTCAAGCTAAACCCAGGGTCTAGCACTTCTGCCTCTTGGGGGTCCAGGGCCAGAGTCTGACCCAGTGCAGCCCACCTTGACATTAACCGTGGACCCAGACATCTGCCTGGAGGTTCTTCCAGAGCTGGGCCTGCAAACTCGAAGCTCAAGAGGTCAGCTCACCCTGGTGCCCCAGCAAGAAGAACCAATTAGTGGACAAAGGAGCAGCTGGCTGGCTTCCCTATGGTCTCCCAAAGGCCGTCATGCACAGGGGACCCATTGTGGAGACTCGCACCCAGGTCCTGCAAGCATTACTGCATACCTGCTATGTGCCCGGCCCTCTGCTGGGCCCCTTAAC